TTATAATGCACAGGGTCAACAGGTTGTGGAGCCACATTCTTCAGGAACTCCTGAAACAGAATCTGCAAGGCAACCACATTCAGCAGAAAAATCTAGATATTCTGCATCTCCTTATAGGGGAGCCCCTGCTCATGGAATCTCACCTTCACATAGTACGGGCACATTGGCATCAAAGGCTTCTTCATTTTCGAGGACAAATTCTTCCCAAGATCAGTAAGATTGGAGTATGTTCATGCCCTAGAGACGCAAATGAAAGTCACAGAGAAACAGAAGGTGCTAAAGATCAGAAGCCGAAGAGGTTGTTACTCCTCTCTGTCTATCATGTATTTATAGGTTTTGTTCTAGGACCTCAAATGTAAATCTAGTCAATTGTCTAAACTGTCCTCTCTCTGTGCCTATCATATAATCAAAGTTTGTTTGGGTCAAGATTGGGTTGGTCACCAATGGATTGAAAAGGTCACAATCCAACTTGTTAAACTTAAGTGGTTGTTGTTTACACTTGTATGGCTCAAGTTTGACATCTTACGGTGTCTAATAGATTGGCTGTTTTAGCTGTGGGCAGGCCAAGATTAAGAGTTCGGGATAATCGCCTTTTGAAAAAAAAGAGACTGATTCGGAGATGCAACAGTAGCATGAGAAGCATTTTAGTCGTCTTGTCTTTTCTTTACCATCGTCAATCAATTTTGTTAGAGATTCACAAGTCAATATACATATACAGTTATTTAATTTTTTACTACAAATACAGGATCAACGGAAAAACAGATTTCTCCCAACCCACGAATCCCAGTGTAAAATTGTTTAAATCAGATTTAGTTGTTAATCCAAGGTCGACAGTCAAGTTTTGTAAAGTCAGAACAAGCACTAGCTTATAGTCTAGTCCGTTGTAGGTGCAACACATGTATGACTGGAAGAACTGATGGTGCCGCGCGGTGCGTGTTATAAGCTTATATGCCTTTGAAACTATTAAGGGAAAAAACTTGGAGAAAATTACGGCTCTGTTAAAATCTTATGAATCAAGATACTCTCTACCTATAAGATAAACCACTCGTTCTAGTGTAAACCAAGTTCATTTCGACCACACCAAATATTTAAATTCAAAAGTTACATGATACTTGAAGTTACATATTTTCTCTTAAAAAGTTTATCTTATTATATTTGCCTTTGATGCAACTACTGTTAAGATCGAAGACTTGCCATTTTATTAGATAACTTTTTTATTGTTGGAGTGTAGTCTAAAAGGACCATTTAGAGAAGTGTTTTTCTTTTACAGAACGAAAGCTTGCAGGTTCAAAACAAGAAAACAATTGCATCTGGTGATAGCTTCCTATTTTGCCTACTTAGTTGCTGTTTTCTCTCTTTTCCTGTTCATTTTCATATGAAAGAACGTCCTATATCGCATGATAGTGTAATACACATTACTTCCATACCAATCCAAATACCAAATAGTAACCTGTCGATGATAGTCAGGTAAATATTGATTATTCAGAAGCCATGTATTCAACATTTACGTTCCTATAACAAAACCGCACAGCACATACACAGGTTAATTTCTTCAAGTATTAATTACCCAGGAAAATAAGTCAGAACGCACCAAAATCCTTGCACAGGCAAACCTAAAGTGCAGTAGCAGCAACCAATAGGTCAAACAGGATATCCTTATAAACAGCATATGTCAAATTAAATGGCTAATCATTCACTAATATTAATTAGTAATCTAGATATTAACAAGTATGAGACGAGAATTAATCCGAACAGAAGTCATATACTCATTATACAGAGAGAACATCAGGATAACTAGATCCTATAATTCAGGTGTACCAAGTTAAAGGTTAGTTATTTTCTTCATAAAAAAAGCTCGTAGTGTTTTAAGTGACAATTAATCCAAAAAAACAAACACAATAGTGTTTTAAATAACAATTAATCAAGTGCACCGTGCTTGGCATGTGTCAATCACACAACATGTACAATCATCACAAGATAACAGAGGGAGTAATACAACCTGACTTATTACATCAAAATTAAGTTCACAGTTGATAAGCAAGCAGTCCAATTCAACACATAAATAGATGATGCGGAAAAACTCAAAAATCCTCTACATATAAAGGGAAGAAAAAGATTTTTGTTTATACACTTTTCTCGTTTAAGAAAAGGAAGAAAAAAGAAAAAAGAAAAGGCACTCGTTTACAGTTTTTCCTTGGTTGAACCGTTGAACAAATACTATTCATGCCGCAAAGTTAAAAGAGCATCAAGACATGACAAACAAAAACGAGGGCAATGCTTAGTTGATCTATACTGCAGTGATATACTATACAGAAAGGGATAAGATATGACATCTCTTATTATAGATCCTGCCCTAAGAAAATACCTTGCACAGTTTTGAGTCATCCTGACACTTCAATAATGAAGGGAAAAAAATAATAAGAGAAAACAACCTGATTTTGGAAATGAAAACCTGATATTGTCAGCAGTAGTTAGTTTGTCTCAAAACAAAAAATAAAACAAAAGGTAGTTAGTTTCTGTCGTGACCCTGAGAAAACATTAAACAAATCAATACTGCATACCTAAGATTAGTCCACTTCGTGGCCAAAACACTAGTTATCTCCATATGACCTGCAGATAACAGATTCAGATTGGAAAGGGTAATGAAATTTTACAAGCACAGATATGAATGAAAAAAATATAATGGTAAGCTGGACCATGAGCTACCCAAATCATGCAAACTTCTCAGTATCCGCACAGAGGGTTCGACTGGGAAACATCCAATTGGTAGTCTAGTCCCAACCTCTACATCACCATAGACATTATCTAGCGTTTGCAGCTTCCCCTACCACCTTATCACCACCTAGAAAACATCCATTCTTGCAGAATTTAATTGCCTAAACTATTCAATACCGGGAAATAGAACCCTCATGTCAATATCAAGCATCATGTTCAAAGGGAAGAGGCTTTTTTTTGTGTGTGGTTATGAAATCATTTTGATCGAAAAGAAAGTCAATAATATCATGATTTGAATGGGCGAGAATACTAGAAGGATGGGAAGCAGGTATACCAAGGAACATCCTGCAATTATATACCTAACAAACAAATTATCGGAACTACACACTGACCCCCACAATGATGCACTCCATCATCTGACATGCTTTCACAAGGCTAATTCATATTCCATCCTAAAGATTCCAGACATGGTTACTATTATCCCAAACTTGCCATATTGACTCACATCCCAGGGAAGGACTACAGATTAATCATAATATCCGGTCATGCATAAAATCGTAAACTCTGTACCTCCTAATCAAATTGCAGTCCTTTTGCACAATATTCCTTGCACCCAAAAACTACTAGTATATACAGATTGATTTACCAAGCAAGCAGAAAGTGTCATCCTCATTGAAGTCTAATGACCTAAATCTACAGAAAATTCTAACTTTAGCAAAAGGCTAATCACCAATGATCAAGTACTTTAGCTCAGCTATTAATCCAAAATGAATGATATAGCATACGCTCAGTAGCAATGATCTGTCAACTATATCAGCAGATTGACACAATTCAAACTTATCAACTGTTGGAGAAATGCCAACATAACTATTCTTCAAAACTATCTGAAATAACATGAATCGCACGGGCAAGACATTACCTCACCAAAATAATCCACTCAAAAAGAAGGCTCTCTAGAATATTCTATGTATTCATCATATCAAGTATGAAATGTATGAACTTATTTTTTGATATAGCAATAACTGAAGTTCCTTGAAAAGCATTATTCTTCGGATTTTTTAAATGTTAAGCAAACAAATGCAGAAGCATAGCTTACGAGATTCACTAACATGAAATCAAAACCAAACGAATAAGCAACAGCATGATGTTCAAATCACGAGGAACTGTTAACCAAGCATGTAAAATGAGAGAGTTCATAAAATGGAAGGTAAAGTAAACTTAAACAGAATGTCTGTAGATTTCAATTTCACCATAATAAGAAGATTATATAGGTCAGACTTATTCTTACTTTTATCCCCTAAAGTTTGCTTTTTTTTAAATAAGGTATCAGCTTGAGCGTTCTTTTCCTTTTTTTCTTTTAGTTTTGTTTGGAATTTTTCAAAGCAGAGGGATTTTCCAGTCAAAAACTGACAGTTATTACACCGTGCAAGAAGAAATTATAGAGAAAGAGTTGAAGTAGAGCTAAAGAGGTTCAACTTGATAGAGAACGGAAATTCCACGACCCTTGCACATATATCTAGTCTCTACTCTGGTACAATTTACAGTTAGCCGTCACTCCAATCTTTTCAGCAGTATCAGAGACCAAGAAAGGCAATCTACCACTATTCAAAGCATTCTGGTGATACATCTCTAATTAGCCCTTAGTAGTATGAATCACTAAAAATGATCTCCCTGTTGTAAATAAGTGGTGGAACTATACTATTATTAGCTTATTACTTTCAAGTTTCAACTCTGAAGCAATCAATTCTCTCGGTGAAATGTTAGCAAGAACCTCTTTGACATTTTAACTGATCAATTTCTCAACTTAATGACTATAACTTCAGACAACTGTTCTCATTTCCTGATAAATAGTAGGCAGTCAATCTTACAAGTCGAATTCATCAATAAGCAAAATGATTAGGTAGTAACCTCCGGACCTAAGGTTTTATACTTAGGCTTTGAGGTGAGTTTGACGGATTTTCGACTATGTTTAGCACCTATAACAGGTAGCATTCTGAAATAAAAGGAGATCAGAACAGGCAGTACAAGTCTACATGAAGAAACAAGCAAGTGCTTGCATGTCCATGCTATTTTAATTTTTACTTCTAAAAGTTGGTGGTCTTTAAAGAATCATCTAATGATGATCCAAATATCTTCTAAACCTATTTCGACTGCCAACCCTGATGTTTTTGGCCAATTAGCCTTTGATTGGGAACTTGTGTTACTGCAAAATTGACAAGTACACTAGATTGTGCAAAGGCTATACAATGAACAGGTGTAATTTAGTCCAACGGACAGCTTTATGCTACGATAACGAAACACGAAATCACGATTTATTTCACAATAGATCAATCCATATACACAAGCTTGTAAATAACTAGGCAAATATAACTGTACAGTGCACACAAGGAGAACTTCTTGCAACTATATTTGAAACAAATTAGTAAGCAATGGACTGAAGAAAGTTGTCAACAGGGTGGAAACAAGAAAAGGACTGCGCACAAAAAAACTGACTCAACCAGAAAAGGACTAGTATTTTTATTGCACACCCCAATTATATCAAGGCTCAATGAGGATAGAACAATGAGCATGTAAATGAAGGATAAATTTGTTTAAATGAGAAGAGAGGAGGTGTTAGAGGAACTACTAGGAAGAAACAAGGGCCTCTTATTCCTTGTTACCGAATTTCTTAGCAATAATAGGTCGGACATCATCAGCATCAGCCAGTGTCTCTAGGAATGGAAGTAAAGAAATTAGTGCAGAGTCTGAAGGATCATCAAACCAACTCTTAATAGGAATCCCATTATTCACTTGCAATCTGAAAACCTGAAAACAAGATGGAAAATTAATATTCAGTTACATAAAACAATAGCCTTACTTCATGAGCAAATAAGCACTCTGCATTTGGTAAGTTGCTGTTCATGTCTCTTTTAGTTTTCTCCAATTTCCAACTAAGCACATGAATCTTGAAAAAAACTCACAACCATCAAGAGACCATATTCTTTTACAATCAATTGTGAACTCTGCCTACAGACGACTAGAGTAGTGCGGTGAAATGGCCTGATGAAGGTGGTGTGTCTATTTTACAGATTGCACATGAATTTTAGCGACTTGATTTCACCAGTACACTCCCCTTACCATCCATAACCCAAAAAAAAAAAAGAGGAGGAGTGGGAGGGGGGAGGAATCTACCAATAAGCATATACAGGAACTACTACTACAACCACCTCAGTTTCAAAATTGTGGTTGGCTGTAGATTTTTATAGACCATGTTTCTCCATTTATAATCTTCTCAATCCACATTATACCCCCAAAAAAGAATGACAAGTACAAGACATTCTCTAGTTATCTCGTGGCATAAGATTATCTAACAGGGCTAAAATACTCGAACAAAGCATAGGACCTAAGCAAACATATTAACATGACTTAACACATTCCAAACTAACAGATTTAGGTATGTAATAACAGGTTTATCATCAAAAACAAGATGCAAGTAGATTACCTGTGGGGAATTATCTACAATGACAACTTTTGCCAGATCAACACCTAATACCGTTAAATCCTTTGTATAACTTCCATCAGAGAAGATGCATGATTCACGATATGCTCGCCTTGAGATAATCTTTCCATCTGGATCCAGAATATCCAACAATTGCTTCGCATATATGCTCTGACTAGCAGTAAAAATTACAATGTCAAACATCTCTGCAACTCTCTCCAAGAATGTCTGGAGGTGAGGCCGCTGTTTCACATAGACAATGTGTTCTTTCATGCTGAAGAAAACAGGAAATGTGAAGTCTGCATCGTCACAGTGCTCCAGTGTAGAATGAACAAGTGTTTCTGAAGACATGAAATGAACACGCAAAATATTAGACAATCTATGGGAACCATGTCATGCTGTAAAATATATGTATTATACAAGAAGGTACCAGGGTACTCTCCCTGCTGTAAAGGAATCTTAGTAACTAGCTCTCAGGTATAGCAAAAGATTGCTTTTAAAATAAGCTACACATTGCATCATTTCCAGAGTAACAAAAAATTGCAGCAAGACTATAATGAGTAGTAAACTTGGAGCACCAAAGTAGTGAATCTCACCATCTAGGTCAAGTACTAGGGTGATCGGTTTGCATGTTTCTGATTCGTTTGGCAAAATACTTGGCCTCTCTAATATGTCTGGCAAATTTCTTATGAATATATGTGGGTCAAAGCATTCTGCTTGATCAGATTCTAAATATGTGAAAGCATCAGATTGTTCAGATGATCTAAGCTGGTGAATTGCCATGTATAAGCTCGAATCATCAGACTGAACAGCAGTTTCTTCACTAGACGTTCTGCACACTTGACTATAGCTAGCTGCTGCAGTGTCTTCAAGGAAAGGCAACAGCAAGTATTCCTCATCAACATTATTAAAAATATTTGGTTCTTCACACTTGTAATCAGCCAAGAACCTGTCAGTCAAACTGTTATCATAGATGGTTTCACCCTCAACAGCCAAACAAGAAACAATCATATCAGAGATGTAGAAATCTGAAACATTGCACGTCTGATGTTCACACGAACTTCTGCTGCTATCACTATCTTCAGTCTCCAATTGGGGTACATAAAAATCATTGTTTGCTGTAAGCAACCAAAAATACGATAAGTTTATGTAATAATGATCTTTTTCACGAGAACTAGAACAGAGAGAGAGAGAGAGGTGTGCTCCCCAGCTCTTATCATCTACGACCCGGGGGGCTTTTGGCTGTGTGGCAACATCCTTTTCAAGAACAGAAGAAATACAGCAAATTTAAGGATGGGTTGTGGTTTGCCTAAGCACTTTTTCAGGACAAAGAGAAGAAACAAAATCTGAATATGAATTTCATAATCAACAAAAGAATCCAACAAAAATGGAGGTATACCTCCATCACTTGGTATATCAGACTCACTGTGCGCACCACTAACAGGCTCCACACTAGGTGAAAAGATTGTCTCTGAACTTGGTTTGCAGATCACTACTGTAGACTCCTGCACCGATTCCAAAACCTGATAGGACAGCAGAGACATCAAAAATCAAATTGTTAACTTTCAGCATGCAGGCACATGTATGGCATAGTAAACTAAAGTGTAAAACTTTCAGGGGATAGGAGCGCGCATATCCTAGTGTCAGCCAGCCCTATATTATGTGAACTAATAAAGTAATAATATCTGAGTTATACTGTTATACAACGTGAATTATCTATTTCTTTCTAGCTGTTTATGTTGCACTCAACAACAATAACTATGCCTAAATCTCAAGCTAGTTGGGGTTGGCTTTTGTTTTACTCTACTTGTGCATATCCTTTTTCTTGAGCAAAAAAATCAAGCACAAATTAAGTTCAACAAAAGCAGCTAGAAACAAATGGTAATCAATGGGAACGTACAAGATAAAGCATGAAACGACACAGTCATCTATAGATTGAAGGAGTCCATCAATGACCTATTATACGGGTAACAAGGCTGTCAATGTGTCCAACACTTCAGCAACTGGATACTGAAATCCCAGACTAAAGTGCTTGTGGGTATTTAAGCACTAGTTACTTCTGAGATAAATTATTATATTTTAGTCAGAAGATTTGACCATAATGAATTTTTGTTATGGTGATAGACTGATATCTGGGCTCTCATTACAGCAGCCTTTGCATTGGGGTCTTGTTCTGACCCATTCACTTTTTGCAAGATGAAATTTGTCAGACCACAATTTCCCAAATCAGTTTTATTCAATTATGAAATCTATGTTTAAAGGTTCTTATGTATTTGGTTAAAATATATTACCTGTAAAGGAACACAGCAAGGACATCTTTACTGTAAGGGCATGTAATAATTTTGCTCACGAGGGAGTCCTATTAGCAACATTTTGGTTTCTGGAAACAAGTTTGGAACTCTATAGCACCAATGGAAACGAAATGTTTTGTATGGTTGGTGGCTAGGAAGACTTGCTTAACCCAAGACAATCTTCAAAGAAGGGGAGTTCAATAGTTTACAGATGTCTGAAGAAAGAGAAGAGTCTGTTGACCATTTATTTCTACATTGCTATCAGCACACAGTTGTTGCAGTTTCTCTTGAAATTTCTGGGAATCAAATGGGTAATGCTAGGTACTATCTCAGCATAGGAAAGGTCTTTCAAAGCAGATCAAGACAGAATGGAACACAGTACCAGAAGTCATATGGTGGTGTGCTTGGAAAGAGAGAAACAAAGATGTTTATAAAGACAAAAGAACTCAGTCTTGAAGATCAAGTCAGATTGCATTTTGTGGATATCTTTTTGGTGTAAACAGAAATGGATAGATGATAGTGTAACCCAGTTACAGTTCATCAAATCTTTTGTACAGATAGCCAGCAAGTTTCATTTTTTCTTTTTTATCTTTTTTTTTTTTCATTTTTTCCGACTTTTTATGTAATTGTGGCACCTTCTAGTGCTGATTTTGAACATCTATAACACTAGACATTTCCAAAAATATTACATATATATTTTATTTCAGAAAACAGATTAATTCATGTCAAATATCAAAATGAAGATTACTCAATTTGACTCTCGTACTGATGCTCGGTTTAATTCATGTCAAAAATCAAAATGAAGCTCAATTTGACTCTAGAAAAACAAATGGCCTACTTTTCCTGATGCTCGTGTGTCTCAGCCCTTTCACATACTGTTTTCTTCACACACCACTGAAGTAGAGATATGGAGAGATCAGACAGCTTAAATGTGGACCTTTCTTTGGTTCCATGGTTTCTCCTATGAATTTCTATGTTCAGTTTCTGTATCTCCATAATGTTTATGAGAACACTTTATGACCATTTACCGGGAAAATGGGAACTATATAAATTTATTATATAACAAGCTGAAGATGCATGACAAGAGATATGTGTATATTTGGAAGAATTTGAGTCCATTATACACCAGATAGTTGAAAGAAATGAATAAATAAATTAAGACTACTATAAATGAAACGTAAAGCAACAGGTACTAATAGTTAACACTCGAGGACATATTTACCGTGGTATCAAGGTTTGCAGAATCAGTAACAGGTGGCTGTTGCTTTTCAAGAAGGTCATCTACCAAATCATTAGCATGATCACCATTTCTTCCGACTTGGTGTGGATGAACTTTGTAGTAGCTAGGAACTGCAAGAATTAAAGCAACTGATGATTGAACCAGAATGCGCAGTACAAAGAAATGGCAATGTCAGCATAGAGCAGAGAGTTACATTGTAAAACTTGTGGGTGATGAGAAAAGCATCAATCTCACACCATCACAATAACAACGAAAAAGTTCTTATTCTGAAAAGCCATAACATAGAACAAAACCTACCATCATGAGTATTGTGAATCAGATCTGCAACTTCGTCTGCATTCTGCACACTTCTGGTTCGAGAGAGAGAACTCTTGGATATGACACTAGAATTTGGACAGACATGGAGACCATTTTTTTCTTTCGAACTGGATGTGGCTAGCTTTGTCTTCATTCTTAGAGATGGCATTTGATTCGTACTTGGAATGTGTAGCACAATCTTGATCTGAAAGCATCAGTAGGGATTCAAAACCCCTTCAAGCAGATATAGTATCAGCCACAAGAGACTGTTGTCAAAGAAAATTGAAAAACCTTTAGAATTCATGGCTATGCCTGAAAGTTAGAATATCGAAAAGAAGAATATATAGAACAATGTTTATAGTTATATACTGTATGTAGTGAACTAATCAAAAGAAATAATACTCAAATGAACTCTAGCAAACCAATAACCAAAATCACTTGAATATAAAGGAACAGAGAAATTCCTGCTATCATAAACCACTCCCAAAACTCAACTATTGGCTGAAGCAAACATCAAGAACATCTATATATATAGATAATTTTTCTGCACTGGGTATTTCGCCCCCTATCAAAGCATGGAAACATTTTTTTAGCCACAATTTGCTAATGTTGAACCACCAAATTTTAACAAAAGTTGCAAGGGTGGTGAAATCACACCTTCAAATCAGTCTTTTGTAAAGATGGATGATAAGACCAATGTTGTTTACTAACTCTTTTAATTTGCTCCACACTAATCCATCAAAACTGAACCTGACAACAAAACCACCCAATTCACACCACCAAACAGACATAAACCTTCTTCCACAGAGGCTTGTTGGAGTTGAGTTGTTTTGAGGGAATCCTTTTGTCTCAATCAATCAATAATGCCTTGACTGGATAGGTTACTTGTTTCACACAATTCTCAAGTCATGTTTTTTTACTCCATTTCCTATATCACTATCTACTCCACAAACTTCATCCTTTATTATTATCTGCCAAATTAGAAGCTTAATTTCCCTAAACATTAAAAAAAAATAAAAGCTTTTTCCCATGAAAAATAAAGATAAGATGCTAGTTCTGCCCACCTTATCAACCCATAAAGACTGTTTTTTCATCAGAACCTTGTAAAGTTAAATCACATCAGTGGAAAGAACACTTATTTACTCTGATTTCTCCTCCCCAGCTCATGGAATCCTAAATAATCCTCAAATTAACCTAATTCAGACCTATCAGGAAACCTATAAACCACCACACGGCCCATATAGTCCAGATAAACCATCTTTAATTAAGATCTACAAGAACAAAGACTTATTTTCCTAAGTTCCTAGAATTCAAAATAAAAATTGAACCTTTTTACCCAATGTTTTTTTATAAAAAAAAAAGATAATAAAAAAAAATAAAAGCAGAACACTGCACATATGGTCAAGAAAACAGATGAATACTCCATATTTCCAGAATATTTTCAGAAAATTAAATTTTATTCGTAAATTAAGAAAAAAATAAAAATTTACCAGTAATAAAATTCTCGTATAACCATACCAAAGCCTATAAATTCACTCGAACAGAGAAACCCAAAACCCCAAAATAATTAAAAGTAAACCCAGAAGATCGCAAAGTCAACTTCAATCAACTTTCATCAATTCAATCAAGGAATCACACATAATTCAACAACCAAAACCACAAATGATCAACAGATCAAAAACCCTACACAAAATTCAAAGTCCAAACACAGCTCAAATTACCAACTTTAAAAACCCTCCCCAAAAAAAAACAATAAGATGAACAGTACTATACACAGAAACAGTGAAAGGTGATTTCATGGATGTCAGATATATACACACAAAGAGATACAAATTTCTGTATCTATAGGTCTATATTACCTGGTAGAGTCACCAAGCGTCTCTCTCACTTTCTCTCTCTAGACGCGCGCTTTTCTCTCTCTTTAGCTCTTCTCTTCTGTGTATATATATAGAAAAAATAAAAAGGATACTGTATAGGCTAAGGCTGACAGTAGCAATATATTTTTGTACTTCAAGCTCTAAGCTGTTGTACCTAAACAATGTGAACGCAGTGACGTTTCGATAATTTTATTCTTTTTTTTTCTTCCTTCTTTTATTTAGTTTTTTTCCTTATATATGCTATAAAGAGACTTAATTCAATTATTACATTTAAAATGAAAAATCAAATATGACATTTTAGCATTTGAGATTGAAAAATTTTATAATACGTTAGACACAGGTAATTTTTAAAAAAAAAATTGAAAAATATGTAACAGGGTGTAATTACACAAAAAGAATAACGGTTAGTTAGTTATAAAAAGGGATATAAGTTGGTTGTCAAGAGATACGATGTATTCGTTTAGCGAGATTTCACATGTATAAACGAGATTCACATGTATCTGTTTTGTTTATCTGAGATATAATGTGTCTTTCCTTTTCGTCTCCCTCTTTTTTCATTTGTCTCTCGTGTTCCTCCCACTTTTCGTATTTGTGCTTTATATCAGGTTCACAATTTTATGTATGTCTATAACTAACTTTGAATATGAACATATACATAATTAATATGTATCTTATATCATAAAATGTAATGTATTTAGTGTGTTTGTGCATAGATACATACTTAAAATGAAGTACGAAAACGCAATGGTCTGATATCAAATATTTAATGTATCTAGCATCAAAGAAGACATTAATATATCTGATGTATATGTGTATGTACATATTAGTTCTAAGATGACATTGATGTATATAGTGTATTTGTACGTAGATATATGTATTTGATGTCAAATGTGTGATGTAACAAGTGTACGTGGAGAATAAAAATTAGGCCAAAGTCAACTGCAACCCCTTAAGTTGTCTATATATTTCAAATGAACATCTTAACTATGATTATTACCTATTGAACACCTAAATAGTTCAAAAACTATACATATTAAACACAAAATGTTGATGTGAGAAAAAAAGCGTCTATCACTTCAGCTAAGTGCGAAAAAACTTTAAATATTTTATTTTTATTTTTTCAAAAAATAAAACTTAATACTTTTTGCCACTTGGCATTTGAATAGTTCAATTTTAAAAAAAAAATTAAAATTAATACAGTTTGTTAAAACAAAAATGAAAATGAAAAAAATATCCCACCCCACCCCTTTCAAGTCATCTTCTTCATCAAAGAAAAGAAGACCTACACACTATTGTTGTTTTTTTGGATTCTATCTCTTTTTAATATTTACTAAAATCAAAAAAGTTAAATTGACTAAGTGAATTTGAAAGGAAAAAAGAAGAGAGAACATCAGACTGAAAAAACTTAGTCGATCAATGTTTATTTGGGTCATCTTTAAACAAATATACTATTCAGATTAAAATGTAAACTCCTTAAAATTATCAAAAATAATATTAGATTGGTTCAATAAAAATAATTTAGGTTCTCTCGATTAATTTTTGCTTTCGATTTCAAGACTATTGAAAGATTCTCATTCTTTATCACTCTTGTATTGATATTTTTTTCACTCACGTATTAGAAATAACAAATAATTATAAAAGCAATTAACAAAGATATTAAATTTTATTGTTTGAGAAAGAAAAAATCTTGTTACAAAGAAGATGAAGAAGAATAGGGGCTTAGTAGGGTTGGATTTCTCATTTGTTTATTTTTTTAAAACAGATGGAAAATTTTATGTAAAATAATTTTTACTTTTTTGTACATAAAATTCTTTTTTTCTATAATCGTTGGACCCTATGCCATATGTTATCTTATAACTTGACATTTTGCCACATCACAGCAAGTGCATTACACTTTTTTTTTTTTACTTATTATCGAAAAATGTCTAATAGGAATAAATATGAATAGATAAAAGTGTTCAATAGGTACTATCCTTAGTTAAGAAATCTAAGTGAATTATGCGAATAACTTTAAGGGGCTGCATATGACTTAAGCCTAAAAGTTATATTTGATATCAAATATGTGATGCGTGTCGCAGAGACTTAAGTCTAAAAATTATATTTGATATCAAATGTGTGTATGTGTGTGCACGCTTAAAAAAAAGAACAATAAAATGCATGCATTTGATTAAATATGCATTGATATGAAGAAAAAGAACAAGATGAAGCGGAAGAGGAAGAGATGATACATGTTTTTGTTTGATTAGATATGCATTAATCAGAAAATTAGAAGAAAAAAAAAGGAAGAAGAAGAATATAATTGTATTTGATATCAAATATGTATTGATAAGAAAGGAGAAGCAGAGGAAGATATGTGTATTTGATATCAAGTATGCATTGGTACTGCATAGGTGTGTATATACGTCGTATATCAAACATATAGTTGTCTATATATGAATTACTTAAGTCCAAATAATAATGAAAATTGTATATAATATCAAACTATCAATTCAAATTAAATATTATAATCATAGTTTAATTTAATTGTACCCCATAAGAAGTTGTTGCTATTTTGCCTTTCTCCTGGTGAATCTCGCTCGTCACTCTCGTTCTCTCCCTCGCCTCTCTCGTTTTTTATACAAACATAAATGTATTTACGTCTGTATTTGTATAAAGCAAAAGAAAATTGTATATATACATATATTTTCGTTCCCCTCTTCCTGATCTAGCTCGTCACTCTCCCAGATCTTTCTAACCACCCTTGTCTCTCTCATTTATACAAAAAAAAAATTTATAATTGTGTTTTTATTTGTATAAAATGAGAGAAAATTGTATAAACACATGCAAATACATATATCTCGTTCTATACACTTATAATCATACGATACAAATATTTTTCCGTCCAGTTCTCTTTTGTCTTTCTCGTTTTATACAAACACAGATTATACAATTGATCTTTTGTATATGTATACCGAAACAGAAATACTTTATGTATAACTGTTTTCTTTTGTTTATGTATAGTGATATACATACTTATGTTTGCTACAAAATGCAATTTGCAAACTACATTATAGTATAGAAATATGATTTTTGTGTTTTCTATATGTGAAAGTTTCATTAAAAAAATTCAAAAAAAATGAAATAGAAAAAAGGTAATATAATTTTGTAATGAAAATAAAATAAATTAAGAGAGAAAAAAAAAATCAAACTAAGTAACAAAGAGTATGAGTTAAACGGTAGTTGGATAGAGATGGACGCAATTTGTTGCTTTGTTGTTGGACGGAGACGAGAAACAATGTTATTTTTTCGATTTCAATTTTAATCTATGTAATATCATTTTATTAATAAAAAAGCAAATAATTTTTTTTATCATTATATTTGGTATTAAAATTTTCTAAAACTATAAAAGATTACACTATAACGTGTAATTTAAGATTATTTAATATTTTCAAAATGTCAAATATTAATGTTTAAATTGAAAATGGGAATAAAAAGGTAGGCTTTTGTATTTGGAACCGCTTCATTCTTTCAGAGTTGTAAAATATAATAATAATAATAATAATAATAATAATAAAGGTGGTCAAAGATGGTTGACTATGAAAGCTGATGTGGTAAATAGTTTGGCTAAGTGAGTAACTTGAGCGCGCACAAAAAAAATCTGCGTTGATAGTTACGTAGATATTACTTTGAATTTTGAATCATATATAGTAATTTTGTAAAACTAACATATTTTAGTTATAATACATGCATATAATTTTTAATTTGGCATTAATAAATAATTATATTTCTTCTAATTTTGAAGTGTGCACAAATAAATATTTAAACTATTATAAAATTAAACAAATATTATTGTCGCTAAAAGTTATTTTTGTTGCAGTAAGACATAAATGTCCTACATGACATAATACACGTAGGATACAAAATTGTCATATAAGACAAATATGTTCATTTGCTCAATTTTATATAAGTTTAAGTGCATACTTGTACATACCAAGGTTAAAAGTCATAACTGTCAATTAAAGTCAAGTTAAGGGTTGTATTTATGTATTATTTCTATTTTTTTGTTAGTGTTAGTATAGAGAATTTGAATTAAATGTCCTTAAGTTAAACGGTAGAAATAATAAAATGATATTCGTAATTGTGACATGTAAGTCATGACAGATACAATTTAAATATACTATTTTGCACTTTTACTTGTCACAATTTGACTTGGTACTCCATTAAAGAATAATTAATAATAATAATAATTATAATATATATATATATATATATATATATATAAAAAAAAAAAATCGGAAGTAATTATTCTATTGAACAACTCATAAACTCTACATTGACATCGTAATTTTTGTCATCATCTAAAACTTATTCACTATTTTCTTTTCTACC